GTGGAATGTGCCTTGGGAACTCCTCGTTTGTTTTAGTTTTATTTATAATTTATAATAATTAAAGCCAAATTATAGACTGAGCAGCAAAAATCAACGGACTTTTAGTCTTTGGAACAATGTCTGAACAAAGTTCTTGTAAAAATTGGTCAAACGATGTGGACCACCCAAAAGGAAATATAGGACTAATTAAAGGACTATATACGCTGACCTTTTTGGTATATCAATTATCGCCCTAAATTCTACACATGGGATTGGTGCCACTACTCACAAGAAAATATTCAGAAATTTAGCTGGAGCCTCAGGCTGAGCTGGCAAAGAAATGAGAGGTACCGTTACCAAACTCCGTCAAATAGACGATGCAATATTGGTTCGTTTGTTAACGCTGACAACCCGCAGCTAACAGTTTCAATACGATGCAAGATGATGTTTTTTTAAAGTTTTTTCAATTAAAAACAATATTTTTCTAGATTTTTTCATGATGAACAATTAGGTGTAACGCATCCATCAGTAACGTTTGGTCAAGGTGGATAACTTAAAGAAAAGAGGAGGAGTTGACCAAAAAAATAATATCAGTATTGATGATAACTTTTAGAATTTTAAAAATCATTTAATCAAATATGGAGTTTAACACAAGAAGCAAGACCTCATTGGAATTATAATCATAAAAACCCATTTTCAAAACAAATTTGAAGGTGTTGAGTTTCTTTTCAAAAGTTCTTTCATTTTTATAATATTCATATCTTTATTCATGTATTTAAGGCGATATCTATTTTTATAATAATATTATATTTTTTTTAAAATTAATTTTTTCCCTTTCAAATTAATTTTTATATCATTTTTGTATTGTTTTAATATATTGATATCAAAAATAAATTTTAAAAAATAAAAATTATTATAATTATATATTTTCAAATGAAAAATACTTTAAAAAATAATTACTATTATAATACCAAATACTTCTTTATTGATTTTGTTTTTAATTTTGATTAGTTAAAAAAAACAATATGTTGGTTCTCTTTTTTTTTTAGTAAATTAAATGTTTTCTTTAATTTTAACAATTAATGTAATTTAGCTTAGTGATTGTGCACCGAATAACTTTGTTTAAGGTATATCAATACTATAATTAATAAAACAAGTTTCAAGTCTCAATAACTATAATTTTTCTATTATAATTTTTTTTTTTTTATTTACGTGGGGTGTCCGGGCCAGCTTACGCGCACCACGACTAATCCCCACGGCCCACTGAATACTCTGCAAACCCAGCAGGCAGGTAAGGCAGCGCGGGGCTGACAGGCATGTAACTCCCAGGCTCGAACCCGTGACAGCAGAAGGCGCAAGACGCCATTCCACCGCTGGGTCGTTGCCTTGGGTGCAATTTATGTAATGGGGAGATGGTCATTCTTTGTTATGTAGTTTAAAATATGGTGGACCAAAAAAAAAAATTAATATATCGTGGGGCTTGTTTTTTATATCTACATCATTTTTATTTTTTTTTCAATTAAATTTTAAATAAGTTATTTACATATGTAACGGTACATATTTCAAATATAAAATACGGCAAATTTTCTTCAGACTTGCAGTGATCATGTCATTAATCCTGACAAACAGTTCATAATTTTTATTAATATGATGCATGTATTTTTGTGGAAAATATATTTAAATTTATTTTTTTCTCAATGTCTTTTATATTTTCGTCACTAATAAATCAAAGATTCAAAAGCATTAAGAAATGTATAGAAATACAATAAATTAATATTTTTAATAGTTAAAACACATTTTTAAAATTATTTTGAAATATAATTTAAACGTGTATTCATGATCAATTATACATAATTCCACAATCAATGCCAGATTAATTGCTTAACACGTTTTGCTGTACATCTTTACACAATTTCCTCATCCTTGAAAATCCTTTATTCTCCCGGTCCAGAAGCAGTTTTAATTTCAACTTTTAAAAATAGAAATGTTCAATAAATATTTTGTTTTGAGAAAAGAAAATGTAAAAACTAATTATAAGAAGAAGACATATCTTTCCTACTTCTTTAAGATAAACTTAGTTAATAAGTTTTCTTATAAATGTATGATAAATTGTTGTATTTTCAATTAAAATATATTTTTATAAAAATATTTTATATCACATTATCAAACATTCACATATCAATTTGATATTTTTCAAGTAAAATATAACTTAAAAAAACTTTAAAAGATAAGTTGAATCGAAATAAAAAAAATCCACTAGATTTGATAAAAATTACTTTAATAGGTAATAATAAGAACTTGGAATTGAAGGATTTACTCCTCCTATGATTTCAAGTTTGAGTCCTTGTGGTTACTAAAATGATGACTACTAGAAATTTATATGATCGTTATTTTTAAAATTTATAAAATTAGTTAAAATACGTGCTTGGATATTCTCGTTAATAAAATAATAAATATATATATTAGTCTAATGGGTAAGCTGTATGTTATTCATTATCATCTCTTTTTGAAGGCATAAGAAAATAATATCTAGACAATCCATTTTTTTTTGTTGGTATTTTTGTATAATAATTTAAATTTAAAATTTTTTATTTAACTCGGATTTTAAATTAAATTATATATGAATTGTTTTGATGTGATATTATCAACTAGAAATATCAAAAACAAAATCAAGGAAAAAAAACATGTTCACCCCGATCAAACTTTTTAAAACCACAACTCGGGTTATCAATTTCACTTGATTGGATTATTTTTTATTCTATTTTATGATAAAAAATATAAAAATAAATTTATAATAAATTTAATATTAAATAATAAATAATAAAAATTCAATATTAAAGAATGTGCTTAAATAAGGGTAGTAGACACATTCAACCTTATTTTTTTATTTTTTTAATAAAAATATTTTTTTAAAAAATATAAATTATAAGTTGGTTTATGAAATAAAAATAATTTTACCCCCGACCCCGCCGTAAAAAAAATTGTTATAAAAATATAATAACATGGCACCCTGGTAATATAATCAATTAAATCAACCCATATTTTTTGTATTTATAATTATAATATAAATAAAATAATAATAAAATAAGTCCCAAAATATCAAAACTCAAATTTTATCTCATTTCAAAAAAATTCTCAGGCAAACGGATTTTATATGGGTAAAAATGGAGGGGAAAAAGAGAGGATAAAAAACTATAATGCGATAGGGCAAGGAGCACCTTCTTTGTAATTATAATTTCCTTTTTACCTCCTCAAACCAAGGACGTTATCTTTATTATATATTAAAAACTGACTAAAGGAGGGAGGCGTCTATAGTAGCCACATAAATAGAAAAACTCCAAATGGAAAGTAGCAGAGGGAGTACAAAGTAGCAGGGCGAGTACAAAACCCTCTTCTCGTCTCTTCACTCTTCCTTTCTCCCTCCCTCCCTCTCTCTTAACATAAACTTCCATTTTTTTTTTCATTTCAGACCAAACAACCCCTTCATTTTTATCACTCATTCATCTCTGCTCTGTTTCCTCTGTGATTGTTTTAATAGGATGAAAGTGCTGTTAGGTCTGTCTTTAACGGGTGTTTTTGGAGGTGTAGTGGTTAAGGCAGCAACTGAAAGTAGTGCTACGACAAGGAAGCTTGATCAAACACCAACATGGGCTGTTGCTAGTATTTGTGCTGTTATTATCATCATTTCTATTCTCTTGGAAAAGTTTCTTCACAAAGTTGGAACAGTAAGCTTTTATATGTCTGTAATGCTTTCCTTTAATTGTTTATGAGTTTCTTGGTGCTCTTCGACTGTTTTTCCTTCTTGGCAGTACAGTTTAGGATACTGATATCACCAGATTATTTAGTTTCTTCCTTTTAAAAAAAAAAGAAAAACACTGCTATAATTCTTCTTTATTCTTGTTGTATGGGGGGGGGGGGGGTTTAAACAATCAATGCCATGTCTGTTTTTAATTATGTAGAAAAGAACTGACAACTCGAAGTCATAGAAAAACACTGCTCTCTCTCTCTGGTGGCCTCTTTTTCTTTCTTTTTTTTGCTGCTTAAATTTCGTTGAATTTCCCTTTACTGCTATGAAAAAAATGATTTTTTTTTTCGTTTTGCTTTATCCTTGTTTCCTCTAATGTTAGCTTTACTTGGTTAAAAGAATAGTCTTTTTTTTTTCCTGTCAATTTTGGGATTTGTTCTTTGAGTCTCGCTAATTTTCCAATTTTTTATTTTATTTTCAATTCAGTGGTTTACAGAAAAGCACAAGCAAGCTTTGTTTGAAGCCTTGGAGAAGGTTAAAGCTGGTAAAGAACCAAGCTTTCTATTTCACTAGCACTAAGGATCATGATTCTCTCCTTTGGCCTTGACTTTTTGCTTAATGTTTTTTTATGTGCTCCTTTAGTGGGAATGTTATTAGGAAATTCTGAGTTGGAATGATTATTGCAGAGCTGATGATTCTAGGGTTCATTTCACTGCTCCTGACTTTTGGGCAGTATCACATTGCAAAAATCTGTGTTCCCCAAGATGTTGTAGGCACCATGTTGCCTTGTAAGAAAGAAGGTGTAACTGATAAAAGTAGTAGCACCAAAGGGGAAGAGGAACCTCGACGGAGACTTTTGTGGTTTGATCGTAGATTTCTAGCTGGTGCTAAGAGCGCAGTAAATTGCAAGGATGTAAGTGCATATGCTGCAAAACTTGTTCTTTGTTGAAAATTTAAGATCTTCTATTGGCTTTAGATAAACGGGCAAGTTTAAAGTCTATCGATGAAAGTTTTTGTCATGACTAGCATGCAAGATTTGGTCGCAGTAAATGCATCAGTAATGGCCTTGCATTGTATAAAAGAAGCTGAACAGTGTTTGAATGACAACCATTTAAAGCATTATTTTACTGGAAACAAATCCAAAGAATGCTTTCTAGTGGAAGGTGGGGGAGTAGGTATGGGCATGCTAAAGCTAAATCAAATGATATTTGATGCTTTTATATGTATTTTCATTAAGCCAACTAGTTTAGTTGCATGCTTAGAAGTTTCAGAAAAATCCCACATGTTTTTGGAATGAACTCGTTGTTTTGATGTCAAGAATATACTGTGGGCTGTGAAATGCATTTTCATTCTTGAAAAATGATTCACATAAGCTAATTGGTTGATACTTGATGGATACTGATTGGTGTCAACATGGTATGACACACCTTAGATCTGACCCATCAATTTTCATTTTGAGTTTCCTCAGTTACCGTCACAATTTAGACCATGACAATACAGAACTAACATTGAAGAAACAAAGTGATAATATGAGGAAAGAATGTTATCTCATTCTGGTGTTTAATGAGATTGATAATCGATGCTTCTGGGTATAATACAGAACTAACATTGAATAGGCATTCTGGAACTAATTGTCTTAGGACATGCCAAATTTGATTGAAAACATAGTACATTCTATTGTGGGATCTTGAATTAATCTAAAGCAATGGCTTGCTGCTTAAGGATATTTGTTCCTGGTATTGAAATTTAATGTTATCCATCACATTTGGGCATCCTCAAGAGAGCTCATAATAAGTTGTGAGAACATAAACCTATGTTTATCCAAGTCTAAAGATCCTTCTTTTCCTTTTATGAAATATTTTATGGTACATTACTTCATGCTTTTGAACAGTATCTTCAAGTGTTGCAACTAGATAATCATTCCACAAGTTTGTGCCATAAGTAATTTTCTTTGCTGCTTTACAGTAATTAATTTTTATACCAACATTTATTACTCACATTGTTTTGGTAGGATATTAAAATTTGTCTTCATTACTGTACGAGAGGATAACATTGAATCATATCTTGCTCAAAATGATAACTATTCTGAATTTGTCCTGCAGGGGTATGAACAACTCATATCTGTTGATGGGTTGCATCAATTACACATCCTCATATTCTTTTTAGCATGCTTTCATGTGTTATTTAGTGTTATTACAATGACACTTGGGAGACTAAAGGTATGGAAATGTTTTTTTTCTTACACTTTATGCTATGCCTATCCATACACTCATCAAATTGCCTGGATTGGTTATGTGCATTACTGGAAAATAAAAAAACCTATGGTAATGAATAAACTAGAAATATGTTGTCTAATTTTCGGTAGAAAAGTCTGTTGACAAACCTATCTCTGTCCCTGACCCTTAATGTGATGCATTGAGTCAAATTCACAGTTGGTAGTAAGCACTTACTTTTTACAGACTCGCGCCTGGAAACGGTGGGAGCTGGAGACTTTGTCCCATGATTATGAGTTCTCAAATGGTATGCTGTCTTATCTTAAAGGCCAGGCTCCCTGTTTATGTTATAGCTTGAACTTTTCTTCATCAAGTCCAAACATTATACTTGAATACCAGGGTTTGTATGCTCAGTTGGATATTATCTTATGCACAGATCCTTCAAGATTCAGGCTTACTCACGAGACATCTTTTGTGAGATCACACACCAGTTTCTGGACTAGAATTCCTTTCTTCTTTTATGTTGTAAGGATTATGTCACTTAACTAGTACGTTTTTTTTATTTATTTGGTGTGTGTGCATGTGGTAGAACAGTATGGTCTAAACTTGTTTGTATCTATTGTAGGGATGCTTTATCCGACAATTTTTTATATCTGTTAGCAGGTCTGACTACTTGACATTGCGCAATGGATTCATCACAGTGAGTCTTCGTATGCTCAAATTTAATTATTCACTGTTGGATTGCCGCTTTCTATTTTTGACACTGCCATTTTTACGTAGGTCCATTTAGCTCCTGGAAGTAAGTTTAACTTCCAAAAATACATCAAAAGGTCATTGGAAGATGACTTCAAGATAGTTGTGGGAGTAAGGTAATAGTTCATTTATTATCTTTCTCTTCATGTTATATTTCTTTGGTTACACAAGATTTCAAATTTATGCATCTTGATTTAAACTGATTTGTTGGCAGTCCTGTTCTGTGGGCATCCTTTGTTATTTTCTTGCTTCTGAATGTTAATGGTAAGTTCCTTTCCCAAGGAAAGTTTTAGAGCAAATAAGCACTTAAAATTTGAATTTGAAGACAGTTTGATATGTTTGCGTTCCGTTACAGGATTGCAGGCTTTGTTCTGGGCTTCTATAATACCTGTGATTGTAAGAAATCTATTCTCAGTGACCAAGTTTCCAGATCAGAGAAAATATCATTGTTCTGACCATTTATTATTGCAGATTATCCTAGCAGTTGGCACAAAACTTCAGGCCATTTTGACAATGATGGCTCTTGAAATCACTGACAGACATGCAGTGGTCCAAGGGATGCCTCTTGTTCAAGGCTCAGACAAATACTTCTGGTTTGGTCGGCCTCAGTTACTTCTTCATCTTATCCATTTTGCTTTGTTTCAGGTACAGTATGGCCGCCTCTGCAATTACTAAACCTTCCATTACGTATACTTAAAATGGAATGGTTAATTTTAGATTCTTGAATATCAAGATTCTTTGCTTTATTCATATTAATCAACTTTAAGTGTGCTAATTGTCATGTTCTTTATATCTTGGTGCTTGCAGAATGCATTCCAGATAACATATTTCCTCTGGATATGGGTAATTAACTGTTTTCAGCAACTCTATTTTGCAATAGTGGATTGTCTGCTATCATTCTCTACTCCATATCTATCCATTGCTCAACATTGATGTTCTATATATGCAGTATTCATTTGGGTTGAACTCTTGTTTCCATGCCAATTTTGATCTTGTTATAGCCAAAGTTGCTTTGGGGTAAGCATTGGTTTTTCCCCCCATCAATAGATTGTCATTTCCAGTAATAAATCCATCACAAACATGTTATAGAGGCTGTGAAAATTAACGGTATCCTAACTTCAACATGGAGAAGACCATGTTTTGGACATTAGTCTTTATTTCAAATTGAACTGATAGACTGAATTTCCGTGGCCTTGCAGGGTTGGAGCTCTAATTCTGTGCAGTTACATCACACTTCCTCTATATGCCCTTGTAACTCAGGTACCTTTAAATTTCCAAGAGCTTACAAGACAAGCTCCTGTTGGAATGAAGATGATCAAGTAAAATCCTACAAAAGGAAGTTCTAACTTCAAATGGATCATTTGTTCCTAAAGCAAGCCTTTGATCAACCAAAAAATTATCTCCTCATTACTAGAAATGATAGCATGGGTTTCAATAACATCATAGCAAAACCTAAAAGATGCTGGCGCTAAAGAGTCCTCGTCTCTGAGGACCTATAGCCTTATTTGTAGATAAACTTTGTATCTTAATGTGCTTCTTCTCTTTCCCATCGCTTATTTTTCATAGGTTTTTTTACGGTTTCCTGGATACTAATCTTTATCGGTGGCCACTCTTAGATGGGTTCGCGTATGAAGAAATCAGTCTTCGACGAGCAAACATCCAAGGCTCTGAAGAAGTGGCACATGCTTGTGAAGAAGAGGCATGCGAAAGGAGGAAAGACTCCTTCTCAGACGCTGGGAAGTGTAAGCCCAAGCGTGTCTTCTATCTCTTCCACACACGCATTGCAACGATTCAAAACAACCGGGCACTCGACGCGGTCATCATACACTTACGATGATCAAGTCGAGTCCGATTTAGAAGCTGAGGCATTGTCACCCACAACAGCAACAACCAGTTTTATTGTGAGAGTGGATGATGATGATGATGATGATGTTACGGAAATTGATGTGCCGCACCAAGAAGAGGAAACCAGAAATGACGACGATTTCTCTTTTGCCAAGCCTGCCCCGCCAAAAGAACCATAGTTTGCATAAACTGCTGCATCATCTTCTTGTACATTAGTTTACGAAAGATCATTGTAGATTCAGATAGCGAAATACAATATAGAATTTATAAATTTTTGTGTGTATATTTACACTCTTTTCAAAAATCTTTCTGGTTTTAAATCTATAATATATCTTTTTCATAGAACCTTTAATATTTTCTGTTTTATAATACATGATTGGTGATGATTAGCGTTGATGTGAGCTTGATTATTCAATTTGTAAAATTATTATTATCATTGTTTTTTTTATCTGGCTAATGTGACAACCATATCTCATCTAGAAATGTAAGTATGGTCCTAACATCCTCGTGGAAATAGACTCACTCTATTGATATTAATCATTGAAAAAATGTGCTTTTGTGTCATATTTTCAATTAAAGTATATAAAAACTCTATTTATATAAACCATTTTTCCAAATATTTTAATTAAACAATTTAATTAAATCATAATCCAATTAGGATAACATAAAAATCAAAATTATTAATTAAATATTTTAATTCAATCCTATTACAATTAGAAAAATTAATTCTATAATTAATTTAATTTAGGTTTCAATTTTAAAATATAAAATCAACTTTTTTTATGGGGACATAATTATAATTCCATCCTTTATACCATATTATAATAAGAAATAAATTTCAAGGGTAAATTTGTAAATTACACTCTAAAAACCCTAATAATTTGTACGATATATGGGCAAATTCATCAATTTGCCCCAAAACATAATATCTGTTGTTTGGGGGAAGGGGGCACAAAAACATAACTCTTAGCCCACTGTTGATGGTTGTAGTAACGGCAGCCAACATTGTCACTGCAAGCTAGAAGTGCAAAGATTTACCCCTCGCCCTTCGCAGCCTTTAGAAATGGCCGCAGCCACCTATGATTGCTGCCTCTATACTAGTGGCGCGTTAGTTATGCGCACAACACAACCAAACATGCTAGCATAAATCCCATTATTGGAGGTTATGCAACAACCAACCTTTTAATTTCCTACAAATTTATGCCAGAAAAGCAGATTCTAGCCAAATTCAAATAATATCGCCAGATATAGTTGGAACAATAGTCAAACAAATTTTTAAAAAAAAAAATCATGAGAGAAAGCAAAATTTAGGAAAACTTAATTTTGCATTTAAATTTAATTTACAATTAACATCAATAACAATTAAAACATAAAAACAATAACCTTAATTGTCTAACAATGACTCTTGGAATACATACATACAATAAAAACAATAAATTTCAAAACTTTTCGAGAGTCTCAAGGATCTCGTTAGATAGATTTAGAGTTTTTTAGGGTTTATACAAATATAAACAGAAGATCAGATGTTCTTTTTGGCTTTGAATAATTACTTTAAAACTGAGTTGTAAAAACTACAAGTCATCCAAGTGTTAGGCTTCTAACAATAATCCATACGAAATACCAGTAAAAAATCTCCTAAACCCTTTTAGAAAAGAGAGATAAGCATTTGAGTGTTAGTCTCTTTTCTTTTTTGTTTTTCAAGTGTTTTGTAACTTAAGTAGTTTATTACAAAAAAAGAGGCATAACATTCTATTTATAAAAAAATCTTAAAACCCTATAAAAAAATTTCAATTTACTCCGTGAATAATATCGTATATATTATTTTAAGACAATTTTATAAATTTATTCAATCAAATCCTTACTTAATTTTTCTAAGTCTAGAATTGCAATTCCTTGTATTAATTACATTTTAGTCTTCAATTTCTAAAACTTATTTACAATCAAGTCACACTTGATTAATCATTTCATTTTAATTTCTGACCAATGATTATTATATGTGTGACCCATTAAGTTTTTTAATAAGTTTTTTTTGAATTCAAGGAAACCTCACCTCCTGGAAAGCACATTTTGTGGGCCCAGGTGAGCGAGTAAAACCCCAGCTGTCCCAGGTTTTTACAAGAAGTACATACCCTGACTCAAACTAGAGACTTGTTGTGCAGATCTCAAGCCCTTTGCCACCACGTCACGCCACTTGGGGACTTTTCTTAATAAGTTGGCTTAAATAAAAATCACAATCCTAAATAAAATAAGATTAAATAAATTAATTTATTATCAAATTTAACAAATAATTTATTTATATTTGAAGATCAAATATAATGTCTAGCAACATATCATGATCCTCTAAAATTAGAAAAACCTTTCAGTGACTAGTTTTTTAGTGTAATTATTATCACTTTATCAACAATCTTCCGCTTTAGATATTATAATATGGGGTTGTGTCTATTATGTTAAATCATGTTTTTTCTTAATATCATAGTTATTAATTATTTAATTAAGATTTGAAACTCTTTTTAAATCTCATTCCACCTTGCGCAAGGATTTACATTCAACACTATTTGAGAGCAAATAAAATATATTTTTTAATTCACCTAGGGTAATGAAAACTCTATCAATTACTCAAATACCTTCATATAATTCGTGTTATATCTAATATCTGTCCATTTGTTACCCTTGATGACAAATTGTAGCATGATCAAAATATAATATTTTCTATATAAGATAACTTGATGATTTCAAGTTTAAGGATCACTTCACAATCGTTACATAAGCCTTTCTATAGACACATGTGATATATTCATATGAAATTTTCATGCAGGTCAGTTCAGTATACATGTCATCTTATAAGCACCTATATATTAGTTATAGATATTCCTTATACCTTATTTTATAAGAACAACTATTTCTTTTCATAAATGAAAGAACATAATATGTATCAATCTCAACAATTCTAATTAATGTTCAGTCTTAATAGAGCATTGGTCATAAATATTTAGAAACAATGCCTTAAAGAAATAGAAATCTCATAATTATAACAACTTTATAATTTCATTTGCAAAATATTTTTGTCCCAAAGACTCTATTTTTACTCTAAACTCATTAATTAAATATTAGATTCATTAATTAAATATTTGATGAATATTAAAGATAAATAAAATCTTTATTAAAATTAAATATATTTTCATGAACAAAGTCAATATCACATGTAACCAACCAATTAACTACAAGACAAATACACTAATACTATAACATTTTAATTGCCACCAATCCTAACTAAGTGTTTAAAATTATGTTTGGTAAGTTTTTCGGAAAAGATACATACAGAAGAGATATAAACGAGTGAGTATTAGGTTGAAGAGAAATGAAAACATGAAATAAATCTATCTCTAAACAATTTGAAAATAAATTTTTAATACTTTTAAAATAAAAAAAAATACAGCTATTTTTATCTGGCTATCTTTATATTAATTACACTAAAAAACAAAAATGTTCGTTAAACAAAAGCCCACCCCAACCAGGGGAAATATTTGTCAAGTATAAGGAGATAATTTCATAAGATCGGGTGAAAATAAAAGAAGCTTAGTTCATCTTGATAATGTCTTCAAGTGCCTCTATGTGCTCTCCTGGGATAATTTCATAAGATTGGCACCGTTTGTGGCCCAATCTCAAATAGCTTATAGCACCTAGAAAACCAACATTTAAAACAAAAATGTCCAGATTACATAAACTGATGTTAGATATTAGTAAACTTTATTCTTAATTAAGAAACCTAAAAATTATCAAAAATATTTAATAACAAATCAAGAGATCCCATTAAAGTCTACATGCGCAACAAAAGATAAATAATGACGTATATATGTATGTATTAACAAAGAAATAAATAGAAAAGACACATACCTAGAAAATACATAAATTCCCAAAAAAACCCACATAGATACATCAAAACAAAAAAAAATCTTGAAAAAAAAACCCACATCTCAAATTCCTAGATTAGAAGGCGGGGAAGTTGCTAAGCAACTTTTATGGAGGATTTGCTGTAACGGTAGGGAATGTGGGTATGCATAAAGACGTGAATGAAGGCTTGAAGAATGGAAGGTTGTGGAGCCAGTTCGAAAGAGAGCTGCTGGTGTTTTACCAGTCAGACAAAAGAAAAAAGACGGTGTCGTGACCGTAGTCTTTAAAAGTGTCCAGTTCTTACTTTTTAACGCGGTTATCGTGAATTCATGTTTTTTTAACGATTTTATCGAGATAAACTAATTTCAATTTCATTTTATCTGTTTTCTAGTTTTTGAAACAATTTTGCTATCGCTATTTCTTCACACAAACCTCAGCTTTTACCTTCCAAATGAAAATTCTATGATACACATGATAGTTTTCTTGGAATCCTCTTTCCTAAGACCTAAGATTTCTGTCAGGAGCTGCTTGCTTGAACTCATAAAGCTGGATACTCTCTGTTTGTTTGTATCTGCATGCGGCAGCACGGCAAACAATACTTGGATACACGTTTCTGGTATAGAAAGCTGGGTACTCTCTTTTGTTTGTATCTGCATATCACCACTAAGGTGACGATACATATTGACCTGCTCATAAATTTAATGTTTATAACCCTTAATTAAGATTTTTGGTACGTGTTTTGACCATGATACATAGGGATGAGAAAAAACCAGGTGAAATTAAAAAAATTAAAAAAATAATTAAAAAAATCAAATTATAAAAAAACCAATTAAAATTTAAAAAAAATCGGTTTGTTTGGTTTGATTTTGGTTTTATAAGCTTAAAATTGAAAAAATCAAACCGAATCGAATTCCAACTAGAAAAAAACTTAGCTAAATTAGAAAAAAATAGATTATGAAATTAATAATTATATAAATTTTTAATAATTTTGAAAGTTATAAAATTTAAATCAATAATTTTTAAAAAATAAATTTAAAATATAAATAATTGAATTATACCTGATTGAGTTGGGAAAGGTTTTAAGAAGAGGGCACTTTGCTATCTATGTCGGCAGCAGCACTCGATTTCGTTAAAAATCTCTTAGAAAGACATGTGCAAATCACGAGTGATGTGTATTTTATACTGCCAAAATGGTTAATAAAAGACGTAGGCCGTAAAAAAACAGAGAGAGAGAGAGAGACTCAGGTTTTCGTGTTGCTGCTTATGGGAATGAACAAAGCTCAATGTTTTGGGTGTCCGAAAGAAAGAGAGAAACCCACCCACTTGGATGACAAAAGGTCTTTGTTTGACATAGATTCATCTACTTTATGAGACAGATGCAACCAATGTTTAGCCTTAAGAATTTGGGACCGATTTCTTCTGTTCAAACTTGAGACAAACAAGTTGCTGAGGCTATAATTAATTTGGATCACTTTTCAAATAAGGATGGACCTCCTCTCTGTACATACATATCGAGTTGACGGAAACATCAGCTTTTCTATTCAACTCAACCACTGCTCCATCGGGATTTTTTTAATTAATATGAATATTCAAATTAATTTATATGTATCTTAATTAATTTTATAAATTTTAAAATTAATAATAATATAAATATTTAATAATTCTGAAATTTATAAAACTTGAATTGATAATTTTTAAAAAATTAAATTAAATTAAATTCTAACCTATTAAATTATATAGTTTAGAGATGCTCGATCAAGATTTTTTTTTTTTTATTTACGTGGGGTGTCCGGGCCAGCTTACGCGCACCACGACTAATCCCCACGGCCTACTGAACATCCTGCAAGCCCAGTAAGCAGGTAAGACACCGCGGGGGTAACAGACGTGCATGGTGAGGTTCGAACCCAGGTGCAGAGGAAGGGGATAAGCTCCTCCCATTACTAGACCAGAACCTGCTCGATCGGGATTTTGAAAGGAGAGGTGAGGGATCACGAAAGTATCCTGACTCACGACAGCCTAGTATTGTTTTATAATTTTGATTCAATTTTGTCTTCAAAAATAGTTCATGTTTCATTCTGATTATTTATTTGAAATTATTAGTCTTAATCTCTCCTGGAATCATACTTGATTAAACGATAAATGGATGGATTTGTTCTCGAGTAGAGAATATAAAAAAGAAATCCTGATCATAATCAACTTGTTATTTTTTACTCCAACAATAAATTAAGAACGGCACTCATAAAACTAGTCCAATAATATCCTAACGATAAGAGTGTAATAAAAATGGACCAGCTAAACTCGACAAAAGTCGGGCCTCTAGACTTGTTAATTTCAAAGTTGCAATAATGATAGAATATCAAAACTCCAAAAGAGAAGGTGTTGTCTCAAACTCAATCGTATTGGTCCAAGCAAGAACTTGTATGATACCTTATCCAAAATAATACACCAAGGAGGAGCTGCCTCCTTTTCTCTACCCATTCTGAATCCGCCTACCCACAACTTAAAATCTTCAACACTCCGCTGACTCTTTTTATCTTTTAAAAATATTTTTTGTAAAAAAATGATATTTTTTTAAAATTTAAATTTAATATTTTTTTGTTTTTAAATTGTTTTGATAGGTTATTTTTAAAAATAAATTTTAAAAACTAAAAAAAATTATTTCAAAATATTTTTAAATAAAAAACTATTTTAAAAAATAACTATTTCTACGACATAAAGCTGGCTCAAAATCAATGACCTCCCGTGATTCCAGAAACATATCGTTGATTTACTTCAATAATAACTTCCGTGAAACCAATTCTTGATTTAGTTAATGAGACAAATCCAATAAATGTTTGCGTCAACTTTTTCAGCCTAAACAAGTTGGTATTGATCTTGAAACAAACAAGTTGCTTAATTAGACTAATCAATTTGCTTGTTAAGAATTAATTGCAACATTTATTTTTTCTATTCAAGTCAGGCTCTAATATTATATTAGTATATTGATGTGCTTCATAGTTGATCAATAATATTTTTTTTAAAATATAAAAAATATATTAAAAGTATAGGGAATATTTAAACATTTAAGGTTTGGCGGTCATGTCTAGACCTAACACGTGTTAGTAATTTCTAGAATAAAAAATAAAAAAGACAACGCCCTTCATGATCCTTTGAATATCAACAATAGATATGATCTATAATGCAAGCACTCTATGTACATAGTATCAGTATAAAAAGAAAAGCGAAAAAATCACATAGTTTAAGGGTCAATAATTTAACATTAAAGGATGAAATTATAAAAATAATTGTTAAAAAATTGAGAAAACAACATCAAATGATGAAATTATAAAAACAATTGTTAAAAAATTGAGAAAACAAATCTGAATCAACCATAATTAACTTGATTAATCAATTACTTGAGATATAAGATCGAGATAACACAATAAAAAGAAATATGGAACAAATAATGAAGATAAGGGCTTAATAATAAAATATCAAATTATGAATTCAAAAGAAAAATTCAAATTTCAATAAAGGATTGCCTTAATGGAAGACAACCATAAAAAAATAACAAAGTAAAATATTTAATAGTAAAATAATTAAAAATCCATATAATACATACCAAATATGATATAAAAATAAATAATCAGGGGTTAAATTGAAAAACAAAAAAAAACTATGAAAAGGATAAAAAAAAATGAGGATCGAAACTAGATATAAAATCAAATAAAATTAAATGTTTAGGGATAAAATTGATAAAAAAATAAATCAAGAAAAGAATAAGAATATAATAATTAAAAGAATGAGGACCAAAACGGATTAAGAAAACAAATGCAATAAAATTGGAAAGGACATTGCAAAAAAAAATAATAATTAAGAAAAGTATAAAACATAGAAATAAAACAATCAAAAGTAGAGGGACCAAATCGGATTAAAAAATCAAATTGAATAAAATTTCTAAAGAAATAATTGAAAAAAATAATAATTCAAAGGCCTCAAAAGTCATATAAACAGTGATAAAAAAAGAAAGTTCAAAATCGATCAAATCACAAACCAGAGGACATAATTGTTTTTCTAAAGGTCAGGAGTGAATTTTTAGGGAATGAGAGAAAATAGGAGAAATAAAAATAACCCCATTTCAGCCTAATCAGACCTTCTCTGTTAAAACCTGCCACATCATTGAAAAGAGAATGACTCGCCACTCCCAACACTACCAAGGAAGCAGGTTTTCGGTAATTAGAAAAGACCTTACACACCATCTGAATTGTGCAAAGATCATTACGCACTAACACATGTGAAAGTTTTTTTTAATAATATTTAATAATATAAAATTACCAAATAACTCCTATCTAAACTAAAAAATAACAATAAAATTAAAAGAAAAGAATCAAGATACCCTTGAAACTAATCTTAGTTTTCTTGGAATCTAAGGGTAGTTTTAAAATTTTATTTTAAAAAAGAAAAAGATTTAAAAACCCCGTTACATGTTCATTTTATTTTTCTACTTAGAGATATTATCGGAACTTAACTGTGAAAATTCTTGGAATAGTACAAAAGCTTTATATTTTTTTGCTCTTAAGGGGTAAAACAATTATTTAAATGTATTAAAAAAAATGTCTGTATCAAATTGCCCCAATCAATTTTGCAATGACTAATATACCATTTAAAAAAACAATTGTATTTCCAATCGAAAGCATAACTATTTTTTCCATAAGGGTAAAACCATAAAAACACTGTTCCAATGAATAGAAACACGTGTCCAGCAGCATAGTAAATCACTTTAGTATTTCTGTAACGTCTCATGCACATAAACAACAAAACAATATTATCTTGTAAGAAAACGATAAACAAGAACTTGTATGGTGGTACCTTTATCCATAATAAGTAGGACCTGCCTCCTCCGACCTCTCCATCCTTCCTAGTTAATTACTTCTTTACCCAACACACTTCAAAGTAGAAACTGAAGGTGCCCTGCGCTATATATATCAAGAACCTCGCCCTCCCCTACGCTATCTTCTACAACCTTCCAACAACCCAAGACTTCAACAACTCATGCCTCGCTTTTCAAGAATCCTCTCCGCGGATGCGGATGCGGCAGCGCCCCCAGCGGCTGTTAACGTTCAGTCTGACCTTATGGTTATATTAGCAGCTCTTCTGTGTGCGTTACTATGTGTGGTGGGGCTTATTTTGGTGGCTCGTTGTGCCTGCATCCGCCGTGTTACCGGTGGGTCACCGTCTTCGGACAAAGATAACAAGGGTGTGAAGAAGAAGAACCTCCAGCGGCTGCCCAGGTTCAGTTACTCTGCTGGAGATGGTAGCGGAGAGGGTGGTGGCGCCACCACCAAGTTTGGATCAACAGAGTGCGCAATTTGCTTGGGTGAGTTTGTTGAAGGAGATGAAGTTAGGGTTTTGCCTCAGTGTGGACATAGCTTCCATGTTGTCTGCATTGACACATGGCTTGGGTCTCATTCCTCTTGTCCCTCTTGCCGCCAGATTTTGGTGGTGGCTAGGTGTCAGAAATGTAGTCATTTTCCTGCTTCCACCTCCTCCGCCTCTTGTGGTGGTGGAGCTGCCACTGAGGTTGAGTTGAGCACTGGAGAAGATTGCAATGTCAAAAATAGTGATACCAATCATGCCCAAGAAACGTAGTCGCTTTCTTGCATTGACAAATAGAGAAACAGAATTTTGCCCGCCTTGGTCGTACTGTAAAGCTGATTGGCAGGAGTAAAATGTTCTTGACTGTCTAGTCTAATGCATGCTTAACTAAATTACAGATCATGAGTTATGTATATCAGCAAGCTTTTAGATACCAGATGATATTTTTAATGCTAATTTATATCTCTCCATTTTAATGATTAAGCTCTTTCCAAGTTAGAATTCGAGCATGATTAGTTTTTGCACAACGAGGGATTGGGTTTTGAGCATTGTCATCCGCATTGCCACAGGTGATTTTACAGTTTGATTAAGGCCTTATTTAATATTGTAATGCGGTGGAGATGGAGAATAACTTTAAAAATTGTTTGATTTTTACTGCTTAAACTTACTTCTTCTTCTTCTTCTTCTTCTTCTTCTTTTTTAATAAAAAAAAATTAGTTTATTGAACTAATCACTCATCAGTTTATTCACTCACCCTTTCAAATGCCTATGCGGCTGACTTCTACTAGCAATGGAGGAGAGTTTCTTCGAAGTCAATTCTTCACACTAATGTTTGTGAAGATTCATTCTCTATCAAGAAACTTGTACTCACTTTCCACTTTGCATAGATTACAAGTATAAATCAAGCTTATAACATGTGCAATCATCCCGCATTTATATTCCCTTATTCAATTTTCATTCTAATTTCTAAACCTTGTAGCACTCGCAATTTCCTGATAAATTATTTCTTCTTGATCCATTACCCGTTTGCCATCTAGTTCGAATTTCAGTTTCTTAGACTTCCAACTCATTTTATCCAATTTAATGAATCCAAGATTTAAAAGGGAAGATATTCCAAAAGGTTAGAAAAGGGTGATTGATATTTATCCTGCAGAAAGCAAACCAACCTCTTTACTTTCCAAAGTCCACATCACAGGGTCGGCCGCAAATCCGAGGTTGGAAGGGGAAAGCGATGCATCCCCTAGGCATAACGAAAGGGATAAGCAACAACCTGCCTGCTGTCATGGAATTCTACTAATATTGTAGTTTAATCGATTAGATTTTAAATTCATCTTTTAGAAGTTATCTATTTAAATATTATAAATTTTAAAATTATTAAAAATTTATATAATTATTAATTTCATAATCTCAAAAAATTAATTAAAATATATATAATTTAATCCAAACACTTACAATTCAAAAAAAAATAATAAAAATTGAGTGATGATGTAACAACCCTACAACATCAAAATCTGTATGGTTTTAACTTTATGACTCGATTTATTAGTGACATAGCCAACTTTCCCTAACTTTCCTAAGAACTTGACCAATGGCAAGATGGCATCTCTCCATGCAACTTCTCACTTGTGTGCCATCATTATCTGACTGCGAAGAAGCTTCAAACTTTTAAGTCTCTACAAAAAATCCAGCCTAACACAGGTGTGATTGTTCCGGTGTCAAAAAGTTGAACAAATGAGAGAAAGAGCCCTTCCTATATTGAATATAGATGTAAACTTTTTCTGGTTGACTACTTTGTTGCAACAAAACCATTAAGGCAAGTATTGAAATATCAATCTACATAGTAAAGGTTCCATTCCTACTATAACAAGACTCCTGCACCGTGTACCCTGAAAAGATTTGTTTGTTTTGGTGTTTAAAAAATATTGTTAAAAATAACTAAATTATTTATTTATTTACTTTAAATTCATATATTTTTAGTATTTTCAAATTATTTTGACATACTGATATTAAAATTAATTTTTAAAAAATAAAAAATATATTATTTTAATATATTTTCAAATAAAAAACACTCATTAAACCCTCATCTAACCGTAATTAGTACAAAATAAGGATATCTCAGTAATTATCTTCTCAAGCTGGAAAGGGGGACTCGACAAGTGACATCAAGAGATCAACACAAAATTTCAGGAAGCTTTACCTTGTAGAAGATTGGACCATTACCACCCCAAAATCACCATGAACTAGATTATAAGGATGCAGATTAAACTAATGAGTCCAAGCCAATCCATCTAATCATTCAACTTCCTCCTCCTCATCATCACTGCCACCACCAAACATGGCAGCCATTTTCATGGCCAAATTAGGAGCCATTTACCTTCTTTGAAAATCAGGCACAACCTTGAGCTGTCACGCACATTTCCTATTTCAGACATCAACTGTTCTAAATCCTCAAAGTCAGAAGGTGTAGCTTCATCCGACTCTCAATTTTCACGAGGCTCTTGTACATTAGGCACCACTCCCTTATCACTCAGCAATTCCATTGCTGATGACGAGGGCTGTATCTCTTCTTTACCAAACTTTTCTCTGTTCTCATTCTCACATTCTTTGATATAATTATTTCAGAAACATTTGCAATTGTACCATTTGCAGAAACCCATCCTCCATATGTGTCGTCCCGTGGTTCAGCTGACCAGCAGATAGTACTTTATACTCAAAGTCATAATCAGATTCTCCAGAGATTTCTGGGCAGGGTGTGTGAATGCATTTCACTTAGCATTTCAATTAACAACTCAGAATATGAATTTAATAATAGTGGCATGCCATTCACACCTTCTTTATCAGGTAACGTTGGTCGAGATATCTTATTGTCAGATTTCAGGATCATTGCTGGCCACATATGAGCAGAAAGAGCATTGCAATTCTCCTAGATACCAAAAGTGAGATACATAGTGATTTAATATTAGTTAAAACCTTACAACTTTTGTTTGTTCCCTGGTTAATCTTTCATCAACCTAAATCTATGACTAAGTCCTATGTTAATCTCCATGAAGACCCAGTCATGTTCTATTCCTGCTTCTCTTTCACTTCAAAATTTCAATTCTCAATCCATCAGCGGGAAAAAGTTTCAGTAAAGCAGGTTGAATGTCCTTACTGAAATTCTACAAAATTGTTGACCTCAATTATAAACCATCAAAACACTTCTCATTCTAAAGATAGATAGATATATCAAAAGTTAGGTAGAATGACAAACATCAGGTTCTACATTATTATTAACATCATGATTTTACTTGAGAAAACTACATATTGCATAATGTCATTTATTGAGTATTTGCTATCCATCAGGAACTTGGAAAAGTCATGAAATCCCTTTTGAAATCATTACAAACTTGGAGATAGAAGATGGTACTCACATTTGTCAAAATCAACGTCCAAAGCACAAGCGTCAATGTACTCAATGCCATTCTCAGTGCACCATTCAATACAGGACCTCTTCATCTCCCGCAATGGCTCTTCTTCATCATCCAACAAACTACTTCTTTAAGTTTCAGAAATTCCAAACTCATCAAACTCTATAATCAGATTATCAAAAGACCCCAACTCTCCAATTTTCCTTAGCTGTTTTCTATATTTAGCATGAACAGGATGACCAGGAATCCGATCAACTTTATTCCCAACACACAACAATATCTCAAAGTTGCTAATATCAGTTCCAGCGACCCAATCCTTAAGTGCAACAAGAGATGATAACTGCACATAGTTCAACAAAAAAACCATACTTAACATCATAGCTTGCAAATTTATAGCTTTCCCCAAATTGAAGCATTGGCAATTTAAACACTTGAAAACAACAAAAAGAAGCATAATTTAAATGAAAGCTTGAAACTCAAAAACTTGCATGATTGCCACCTTTCAAATTCAACAATAAGAAACCAACAAAAGAAAATTCTTTGCATCGAAGCTTGAAACTTTAAGCCTTTCTCCAAATGTGTTCTAACGCATTTGCATATAAACAATTAAAAAAAAACAACAACAAAAGAAGCAATCTTTTCATCGAGGTTTGAGACCTTAAACCTTTCGGAAAATGGGTTTTGAAGAATTCACATTTACACTTTAAACCGACAAAAAGAAGCATAATTTCCATCCAAACTCAAAATTTTAAAGTTTTCTCCAATTGGGTATCGCAGCATTTGCATCGTTTCCAATTCAAAAAATGAAAAATAAATAAATTAGATTCATCACAAATATATTATGAAGAACTACAATGCTAACATCACTAAGTCAAAAACCATAACCAAAGCAGTAAGCTTGTTGTAAAATGGAAGTGATCCAATTGAAAATCCTTCATGAAGATGAGCCATCCATAGAGCAACATCAGCCGCGTAGTACTTTGTATTAATAATCCATCTATTCAAAAAAACATTTTAAAAGAACTTATTAAGCACCATTACTACACAATTAAAAGAACTTCAATAAACATTGAAAAAAACGAACAGCTATAAAGCTAACCCATGTGAGATAACTTGATTTGATGAGTCAAAGGAGTCTTCACAATCAAGTGACAGCTTCCATCCAATCAAAATTGATCAATAAATTAAAAAATGATTAAAGAACCAATCGAACAGCGAGAGTGGGGGTTACTAGAGAGGAGGGTGCGTTTGCCAACGCTGGAGGATCCGATAGAGAAGATGCCTGGTCGGGTCACTAGGGATGTAGAGCTGGTGATTTAGTTTCTTCACTCATTTTCTGAATGTTTCTGTAAGTTTTTGTCTAACGATTGAAACTTGGTGTTGATCGTTGAAGAGAAATCAGTTTAACTAACTAAAATGGTATCAGCCTTTCACCAACTGCAATCACCATCTTTTTTTTTATTTGCAATACACTGTTGATTAGAATACTGTATTTTTTTTTTTAATTTTCACTTTGATCCTTCAATTTTTATTTTACATGATTTAACTCTTTTAAGTCTAAATTAGTTTCAAATTGCATTGTTTTTAGAAGAAAGAGTTGAATTGAAAGCTAAGGAAATGAAGTAAAAATATCAAGTAACATAGGGAGTAAGTTTAAAATTTCATTAAAATATTCATTTTAATCCCTTATATTTTTTAGATATAATGTGATTAGTCTCTTAAATTTGAAGAAAATACAATTTTTGTACTTAACTTTATTTTTCTTATTTTCAGTTATTTTTTATTGGGAGGAGCGAGAAAGAGTCATCAGATTTGAGCTTAGAGAAAAAAACTAGTTGTTAGGGAAGATTTCGGCCACCAAAATAATCGATTTTTGTGTCAGAAGGTTCTATATGATGAGGAAGGTTATGATTAGTTCTTGGCTTACCTTGAAAACACCTAAAATAACAGATTTGAGCTCGGAAATAATTTTTGTTTCAGGTTTTAGGGCGGTTTATTGGCTTTTTGATAGACATGAATTGATTTAATAAGGTCTTTAGGGTGTTTTGGGTAAAAAATAAGTTGAAAATAAGATTTTAGATAAAAAAACAAATAATCCTATTTTTTTAGCTATCATAATGGCCGAATTCTGGGTCTCGCAAGCGATGCGTTTTTTGTTTTTGAAATACTTGGGCCCCATTAAACTTTTTTTTAAAAATAAATTCTCGTGCTTGGGCCTGGCCTTGCAGGCCTGCACGCAGACCGTTGCTTTTTGGGTAATAAATTATTTGTGTATATTTTTTCAAATAAATTTTGGGTTTATATTTTAATTACATTATGATTATTTTTAAATAATATTGGATGTGTTTAATTTTTAGAGAGGTAGGTATGATTTATCTATGATTTTTTTAAAATTTATATAGATTAATTTTTTTAAATATTGATTTTTTATAATACTTTTCATAAGTGCAGCCTTGCATTGTTTGTTTCTAATTATTGTTCAATAAATTTTATGTTTGTGTTAGTTTCTATTACAAATTTATTTTAATAGAAGAATTCATTAAATATAACCACGTAAATTATCCGTATTGCGATGTTAAATATCTTGGTCTTTATTTTTTGCTTAGTTTTCTCAATTTTATTTTTATTTATTGTTGATGATTTTTTTTATTGCTTTACACAATGATTATTAAATTGTTTAATTAAATACGAGCATAAGTTTGTTTTTTTAAGTGTGAAAAAACACTTTGAAGAATATTGTATATTCATTTTATTATTATGTTTTGATGTTTAAGATTTGATGCTTATTCTTGTAATTTTTTATTTTTTTCCTTGAACTTTTTATAGAAGTTTCATTTTTTTTAGTTTCACCATTCAATCTAAATTTATAGTGTAATTTTTTTTTTTATCTTTGTTCTTTTGATTTTTATCCTTTTGTTAATATTTTTATTCCTTTTAATTTAACTCTCAACTTTAAAATTTATTGTTGCCTTTTGATTTATTTTTTAGTGAAATTTCAACATGTATTATTTTTATTGTATTTTTATATTTTGAATTGCTTTGTGTTTTTTTTTTTGTGATTTTAACCCTCACAATGTTTTCATAAATAATGCTTTCAGTTTTATAACCTGAGTTATAGTTTAAAAATTTAACAGTAATTGATTTTTTTTGTCTTATATTTTTTATTTTTCTTTCTATGAAATTATTCTATTTTTATTTAATTTTTATTTTTTTAACAAATAAGATCATCGAGATGTTTTTGTAATATTGTGAAGATATATTTTCATAATATTGACTAGCGTTCATCTTTTGCATTGAGTTGTTGTTTTTTTTATTTGTTTGTTATTGATATTTTATTTTTTAATGATATTATTATATTAACAAAGTTTATTAAACTCACTTGAGCTAATTTTCTAAATATTATATTTTTTTATTTTAAAAAAATGTTTACCTTTTTTTTTTTATTCCAAAACAAAGGTTGGTTTTAGCATAGCACGGGCCACCTAACTAGTAAATCTAAGAAGTTGTGTTGCGAATTTTTCTAGGTTCATATTCAGAAGAGATTTCCTCTTAACCATTTTCACAAGTTATCCATGAATAAAAATTTAGTTTTATGCATATAAAATTGGAAAGATAACTTTTAATTTTCTCAACATATACTTAATATTTTAATGAGAAATTTAATAATGAAACATGTCTCATTCAATACATGGCATAACATATATATATATATATATATATATATAAAACAAGTTATATATAAACATATACCCCTAGCATTAAACATATTCGATTAACGATAACCTTGAGTGACTTACAATTTATCCATAAATAAAAATTTAGTTTTATACATATAAAATTGGGAGGCATCTTTTCATGTTCTCAATATATATTTAATATTTTAATGAGGAATTTAATAATGAAATTCTAGTCCTATTAGGATATGAAAAAACTCAAAAAATTTAAATTAAACATTTTAATTCAATCTTAATCTAATTAGAAAAATTAATTCTATAATTAATTTAATTTAGTGTTTCAATTTTAATATAAAATAATTATTTTATATAAGAAGGGCTAAATCAAAATTTCAGCAGTGATAGTAGTGCTGCCGTAGCACCTGGTGGCAGTAGCCCTCGCGCTGTCCCTACCTGGCATTGCGCACAACGCTAAAGGTAGCATAGCAGCGCTTGATGCTGTTGTGGTCTTCTGTCAGCGACCTTGCAACCACCTAAAACTATTTTTTTTCCGTTCAATGGTGGATTCTAGTAAGATCTAAAAAATAAAGCCTGATTTAGATTAAAGAGTAGCTAGAATCTTTTTATTAATTTTTAAATCATGAGATAAAAAATTACTTTAGAAAAAAATAACACTAATAACACATGAAATTAATTCACAATTAACACTAATAACAATTAAAACATGTAATCAATAACCCTAATTGTCTAGTGAAGGCTATGTTACCACTGTTGGTTTCCTGAATATCAGACATGCAACAAAAACAATAAAACAAAATTACTCGGGAGTCCCTAGGATCCCGTTAGATAGATCTAAAGTTGTTTAGGGATATACTACTTGAAGATCTGATCTTCTTCGGCTTTGAATAATTCTTTAAAAGTTGGGTTGTCATATCCGATAAGATGTTCAATTGTCTGGCCTGCTGATTAGTACTTAAAAGTGCATTTTTATCAAGGTTTTGTATCATCATTTTGCACTTGAAGTATCAATAACTCCTTAACTAAAGCATTTTTATAATAACATATTTAATAATATAAGATACTTTTAATTTGTGGTAAATGTTCATTTTAAATACAGCCTATCACATAAATGAAAGGATTGATTGATGAATTTAAGAATTGAAATTAAAAGGACAGAGATGGCCAAACTTAGAAAAGAGATGTCGGTGCAATCCAAACTGGAATAATGTTCGGTAATTGAGTCATATCTAGAGCTCTAGATCTCATATTTAGGTTTACTTTATATGGATGGAAAGGTAAGACATAGGCTTACAACTTTCATATGGAGCCTAAGATTTAAAAATGCCATTTTCAAGTCGAAATTGGAGTAACAACAAAGAGGTTCGTCTGTCTTCCAGGCCAAACACTATTCAGTGTTTGGCCCATATATGGAGTTCTAGAAGTCCAAATGAGTTGAATTTTATACAAGAAAGATGAGACAATTTCCTACAACTTCCATGTTCTCAAGTGGCTTCAATTTTGACGTTATCAATGATGTTTTGGGCAGACAAGAGAAGATAAGGATTGTCACCAAGTCAAGAGTTGGTCACCCACTCATTAATTAGTCATCAAATCAATAGTTCTCAATTTTGACCTATAAAAGGAGGCATTTGCCATGCATTTAGGCATCTTAGTTTCCAGATCAAGATCATGCTTTTGCTTTCTCTCTTTGTATTTTTTGTAATGTTTATACTTTGCTTTCATTAATATCAAGTTTATGCCTTTCATTTCCTTTCCTTTACTTAGTTAACTCTTATCTTATTTATGTTCTTATTTTGTTTATTTATTTTTCTTTCATTATGTCTAGCTAAGTTTATTATGTCAAGGTGAAAAGGTTACACTAATGGTGTAAGAATAAGTATAGTGTAAACTCAATATGGACTTTCATGTTTGATACTAACATGTTTTGTATTTGTTATCTTGTTCACTCTTTAATACTTTGCTTGTTAAATGACTAATCTTGATTTATGTTATATAACACTTGGCACAACAAATGCTTGGCACTTTTATAGCCCATACTGTATGGTATAACCGACACCTAAGCTATGAAAGAAACTTGATTTGTTGTTAACATAAGTTATAATTATGAATGCTTGATGAGATTTACAAGTATTAACATTAATCGAATAAGATGACTAATGTAATCATGTTAACAATCTACAATCTGATTGGAACCTCCTTTGTGTGTGGTTTCCACTTGAATAATAAGAGTTTATCCTATACTTGTTTGACATACCATTAGTGGATCCTCTAACCTTAACATTTATTGTTATCGTTGTTTAATCTTTACATTAATATTCCATCTCAAAGTTCTCATCTTCTTCTTTTTCTTCTCCATCTTTTTCTTTATTACTACTACTACTACTACTACTACTACTACTACTACTATTATTAGTATTATTATTATTATTGTTGTTGTTGTTGTTGTTGTTTATAATTTGTACAATTAACCTCTCTGTGGTTCGACCCTAGTCTTGTCGGATTATTTATTACTTCGACACTCTTGCACTTGGGAGAAGACATTAATCTTTTAGTTGAGTCACCTGCAATGGTTATCCATATGAAGCACGAGTGATAAATCTCCTAAATTTCTATTTAGGAGAGAGGGATTTATATTCCTAGAGTGCTAGCTCTATGTTATGCTACTTATGTAGTTTTCTATTTAACAAATAACTACTCAAAAATAAAAGGCATACCTTATTAT